TTTAATTCTCTACAAGATTGCATAATTCATTTTTGCATATTCATCTTTGATGTTTAGCACAGTAAGTCTAACAGCAAAGCTCCACATTTTTTAACTGCACCACGCAGTTTTAAAGTTCAAACTGCTCGCTTTTTTAATTGCTTATAATGAGTACAAAAAGATTTGAAATAATTTTATTACAGTCAAATGGTGAAGAATTTCATGCTTTACAAAAACCGTCTACTTGAAGCAAATTTATTTCAATTAATAGCAGCTTTAATACATAAACTTCCAAGTCCACCGATGTTTCTAGCACTAAAAAAAAGCTTTAACTATTCCAGTATAAAGTCCAAAGTTCAAATCATTAGTTTATAGACCAAAAAATGCAGAATTTCGCGCTCTATTAGACTGTGAACTTACAAATAAATCTGCTACTTTTTTTAGCTGAAAAAATAGGGAATACTGGTTGTCATGCAGATGGCCGAAAAAATAGGAGAAAATGATCTTTCTTAAAGACCCTTTTTCCTTCTGATTTAATCTAAAAAAAGCATTGTTTGTCATTAAAAAGAAGCAGTATATTGTAGAAAATATCTTGCTGGATTTTGCGTATACCTTGTTTTGTTAAAGAAGTGATTTGTTAGCGAAGTTTAGTGTAAAAGATCGATTTTTTGAAGGTGCAGTTAAGAAGTTTGGAGCTTTTCCTGTTAAACTTACTGTGCTAAACATCAAAGATGAATCTTAAAAATGAATATGCAATCTTGTAGAGAAATAAATTGTCTATCGTTTGATATAGTAAGGATTTTTTTTTCTGAAACGATTTGTAAATTCATCGTTCTAGAAATCGTTTCAGAACTTGTTCGACACCCTTTATGTGTATGGGCAGAGCGACATCTGGTCTGTACATTATCCGAGTCCCGACACTTTTATTTATCATGGTTCAGTTGTGACAGGAGTCCGTTTGAGACACCTAGATTCTGTCATCTTTAGGTCAGGGACCGTCACAACAGATGGAAACATATACTATCAGCCACGCTTAACGTCCTGGCGAGATTTATTTCTCCAAACAAATTCAAAGGTCTAGTAGAAACTGATTTTACTGTGTGTTTGACAGTTAGTTCCGCTCAGTCAGAAGAAGTAACAAATGAACAAGCAATACAAATGTCTGACTCAGCTGTTTATATCACATGAGACGATCTCATCGATAGTCCAATCTTAAAGAAGGAAGCAGCAGTTACTCATTCTATCCTTTCCACTTTTGTTTTAGATTAGTTGCATCATCGGTGGTTTAAAGACTATTCAGACTTACTTATTTCATGTTTTTATAGCTTATTGTAATCTAATACTTCAAAAAAGTAGGACTTTCTAGCTCGAAAATTCTTCTATAAATATGCATGTACTTTTGAGAAAAAAGGCTCATTGGTAGGGTGTTAGGAATCAAACAAAAATGTTCACGATGTTATTGAATATATGCAGTATTATATTTTTCAGCCAACAAGTGAATGCTGGTAAGAATCCCTCTATGATTAGTTAGTTCTATTACGGTACGATTGTGTCGTTCATCCAGGTATATCGGCTGTAATGCCAAATAATGAACATCCAGATTATCTAGAACATTTAAATTATGCCAAGAAATGAGGCACGAAGAACGTTTGAAAAAATCTGAACGCTCGACCTCCTCTGTATCTATCTACTCAAGAAGCAATCTTTGAATAGTATCCCCCTTTATCATAAGCACAGGGGGACTTTTACCCATGTCAGCAATGGACCAAGGCGAGATTAATTCATGTCAACGAAAAGCAGCTCTCTGAGCTCAAATAGCTCAGGAATCGGATGAGTTTCTATACATGGAAGAACTGGCATCGGACGATGATTATGAAGATAGAGAGAATTTGGGTAACACACAGCCTGGTGATGGACCGCGAAATAACGGCCGTAGTCCGATTCAACTTACAGAACGAGCGAACTATCTAAAAGCTAGTGATGCACTGAAAATGGACCTGGTGGAAAACCCGGAACAGGTGGCAACACCAGGAATTGGTTTTCAAGTAGCTGTATGGTTTTGAATAACTAAAGACCTAAATCCATTAGCTGATGAGAAAATAATAGTGCAATTTACGGCTAGACCAGTTACGGGTCTGATACGAATTCCGCTTTTTTAGTTTATTCGACAACCGGAAAGTTTTAGTGGGTAAACCACAAAATTTTACTGAAAACAAACACGGTTCTAGCTAAAAGAGTTACTTGAGAACGTAATGATAAGTTATCAGCTCCATTCGAAAAACAAAAATATTTAGCCGTAAACCAAAAGGAGAAAACTTTTGGGTATAAGTTGGGTACGGGTACAAACTTCCCGGGACAGGTACGGGTGGAAAAACGGTACCTATCATAGATATCACTGGTTAAGATTTTCTTGATTGGGCTGATAACCGTTCAAAAACTTTCTGACCGGGCCGGCCGTTCGGTCGGTCATATATTTTTCTAGTGTGTAAGTGTAAAAGCCTACTGACAGAGGAGTGTTAAGGCTTCTGGAAAAACGTCCATAGCTTCAGAACCATGGATTTCCAAGATGTCTCTTAGATCCTTGTTGGTAGAGGACACTTCGGACTATATATGTACGAAAACAACTCCATAGATTTCTATGTCAGCTTTCAGAGAACCGAACTGGTTTTCCACTGATCTCTGAAATTTTTCTAAACTCGTTTTTGCTAATGAAAACATAGCCTCAGATCTTGCTAGCGAATGATAAAAACCGTAAGTCTTTATCTTTTATTCCTCTTGAGTTATTCAAAAAATAACGACGGTCTTGTATTTTAGCGCCGATAATAGCAACAAACAGTAAAAAAGAAAGAAAAACGAACAGAATGTTCATCAGACTATTCACTTATTTGGCGGTTTGAGACAAAATCTTCAGGCATTATTGAGCACTCAAAATATTCAAACAACCGCTCATATTATGGCACAGATTATGAATCTGGAAACAGCTGAAAAGAAGATTGTGGAGCAAAACTATGTTGCTCCAGAGTATCCATCATCAGAATATCAGCTTATAACAGCAGCAATTTCTAATCAACCATCTCGAATAGTTCGGGAACCGATTTCGAATGTTGTACATCAAACTGTTCAGCAACTGAGACCAAGAGATGTTGAACGGTCGAATCAGCAGATTATTCTACCGAACAACCCTTCTTTTTATCCATCTCGAACGTTTATCAATTCCAGTGCACACTATACTGGTCAGCCACAACCACAGATATGCTTCGCTGTGGACAACATGGCAATTCCGACGTGAATGACCAACTCAGCCTCGTTTAAAAGGCAGATGGCACTGCTCCCAGGTCAAAGAAAAATCCATCACCTGTAATGTTTCAATTGCCGGCCAATGGAACGCTGACAGTGGTGATGATGGATACCGGCTCAGGAATAACAATCATCCGTCGCGACACGCTCAAGTTCTCTCAAAATCATAGAGTCAAAAGCGAGCATCGAACATATTCTACCGCGAATAACGGTGAACTTAAAATAATTGGCACTGTATGATTGAAAGTCAAAATTGGAAAGGTTCTCACATTTGTTAAAGCTGCAGTCTCAAACGAGTTGTGTACTTCATTGTTGCTAGGCAATGATTAGGCACAAGAAAACAATATAAATATCAAATGCGGAGAGCGAATCGTCGTATGTCAAACTCGATGGTCCAATCGAGTTCAAATTTTTACCACAGATACTTCAGATCCTACCTCAGAATGTAAATTCTTTTTCCAAAACATTTGATTTCCTTCTCAAAATCTTCAAAATCTACATTCTGTGGTAGAGTCTGAAGTATCTGTGGTAAAAATTTGAACTCGATCGGACCATTTTTTCGAGCGGTCATAGTGTGACCCGATGAAAACTGGAGTTTTGTAGATCCATATAAGAACCTCTCAGAAAATTCTGGACAAAAATAAATCGATTTTCTTTTTCGATGCTCTATTTCTGCTATAAATTGGAGCACAATCGGATGTGTGCTCCGCTGTTGGCAGCAAGGTGAAAAAAGAGGAGGAGGGTACCCTTAATTTAATAAACAATAATAGGATTAATTATGAATTGGCAGATCTGAAAAACGGAACTGGAGGGCGCCTTAATTAGGCAGAAGGGGTACCCTTAATGATTTACGAGGGAACCTCACCAACTGAGACCCTCCGGGTGGGCTCATACTTTGCTCATAGGTAGGACTCATAGTGTAGATAAAAACTCTAAAAGGATTCATCCCCTTGACTCTTGAAGACCTGGTTTTCTGGAAAAAC